GGTTCTGAGATCGGGGAGGAGCCCGATGGAGAAGAGACCGCCCCCGGGGATAGCCAAGAAACTTAGGGTTTTTTCCATTTTGATTTTTTGTGTAGGGTCCTGATCAGACGTTGTAAATACTCTTATATATATATATATATATATATAAATATCTTTTCCTTTCCCAACTTGTATCTGTTTTATTCTCTGCCTTGTGATGATTTTGTTTCATTCATGCCTTATGAAAGTTTTCATAAGTTCGAGGCCTTAGGCAATTTGATCGAAGTCGGACCTTGTAGCCTTTATAACCGAGCGAACGTTTGCTCGAACTTGAGTTAAAAATAGCCCTTAGGCTTAATAGTAGAGTGAGCATTTGCTCAAACTCAAAGTAATACATCCCGTAGACTTTATGGTTGAGTGAGTGATTGCTCGATCTAGGAATAAGATTATCCCTTAGGCTTAGTAGTCGAGTGAGTGATTGCTCGAACTCGAAGTGTTGTAGCCCGTAGGCTTAATAGTCGAGTGAGCGTTTGCTCGGACTCGAATTAATGTAGCCCGTAGGCTTAGTAGTCGAGTAAGTGATTGTTCAAACTCGAAATAAGATTATCCCTTAGGCTTAGTAGTGGAGTGAGTAATTGTTCGAACATGAAATAAGATTAGCCCTTAGGCTTAGTAGTCGAGTGAGTGATTGCTCGAACTCGAAGTGATGTAGCATGTACGCTTAATAGTCGAGTGAGCGTTTGCTCAGACTCGAAGTAATGTAGCTCGTAGGCTTAATAGTCGAGTGAGTGTTTGCTCGAACTCAACGTAATGTAGCCCGTAGGCTTAGTAGTCGAGTGGGTGTTTACTCGAACTCGAAGTAATGTAGCCCGTAGGTTTAGTAGTCGAGTGAATGCTTGTTCGAACTCGAAGTAATGTAGCCCGTAGGCTTAGTAGTCGAGTGAGTGCTTGCTCGAACGAGAAGTAATGTAGCCCGTATNGTAGCCCGTAGGCTTAGTAGTCGAGTGGGTGTTTACTCGAACTCGAAGTAATGTAGCCCGTAGGTTTAGTAGTCGAGTGAATGCTTGTTCGAACTCGAAGTAATGTAGCCCGTAGGCTTAGTAGTCGAGTGAGTGCTTGCTCGAACGAGAAGTAATGTAGCCCGTATGCTTAGTAGTCGAGTGAGTGATTGTTCAAACTCGAAATAAGATTAGCGTTTAGGCTTAGTAATCGAGTGAGTGATTGCTCGAACTCGAAGTAATGTAGCCTGTAGGCTTAGTAGTCGAGTGAGTGTTTACTTGAACTCGAAATAAGATTAGCCCTTAGGCTTAGTAATCGAGTGAGTGATTGCTCGAACTCGAAGTAATGTAGCTCGTAGGCTTAGTAGTCGAGTGAGTGTTTACTCGAACTCGAAATAAGATTAGCTCTTAGGCTTAGTAATCAAGTGAGTGATTGCTCGAACTTGAAGTGATGTAGCCCGTAGGCTTAGTATTCGAGTGAGTGCTTATTCGAACTCGAAGTAATGTAGCCCGTAGGCTTAGTAGTCGAATGAGTGATTGCTCGAACTCGAAATAAGATTAGCCCTTAGGCTTAGTAATCGAGTGAGTGATTGCTCTAACTCGAAGTAATGTAGCCCGTAGGCTTAGTAGTCGAGTGAGTGATTGCTCGAACTTGAAATAAGATTAGCCCTTAGGCTTAGTAATCGAGTGAGTGATTGCTCGAACTTGAAGTAATATAGCCTGTAGGCTTAGTAATCGAGTGAGTGCTTGCTCGAACTCGAAGTAATGTAGCCTTTAAGCCTGTTTGCATAATAAATCTCAAAATAGAGGAATTTTTCTCGGATATAAGATATCGGTAAAGAAGAAATTTTTCTTTGTAAGTCTTTATACATGTGTTCATGTATTGTGCCAGGGCTCGGGCCAACTACATGGGCATGGCTCGTTTGACCATTTGGCCCATACAATTTTTCCTGTCGAGTCCTTGTTGTAATGAAGTAATGAAGTAACTTCCTTTGCACCGAACTTGATAATCATCGTTGATATATTCGATGAAAATGCCCCCCAGTATTCGAGGTTGATTTGTAAGGAGGCCTCAGATACTGTTGAATTGTTCCAAGTTAGCACGATCAATGGTTGCCTCATTAAAAAATCTTGCCGAAAAACCCATTTGGGACAAAAACCGGTCTAAGAGAAAAGGAGTGCAACGCGTGCTTTCTAGCCTAAAGGCTTCGAGTTGAATAATCCATCCCTGTCTTTGGTCGAATACCTGCAAGGGTTAGTTTCGAAATATAATTGAACAAGGGGGGATCGTACCTTAGCAATAGTATCATTTTAGGTGTGACATGTTCCAATTGCTTGGTAGTTGATTGTCATTTATCACACTGAGCTTGTAGGATTTCTACTATACGGTCGATATCGGTCCTTGATCGTCCTTTGTTCTCGGTTGGTATCCCTTTTAATAATGGACCCGGAACCCAACTGGTCGTCTTCGACTCTTATTTTGGATTGACACCGATTGTGCACATCGGCCCAAGTAATAGCTAGGTATTCGATCAGGTTATGCTTCAGCCACCGTGAAGCCATCGAGCTTCGTTCGTTTAGACCTTGAGTGATAGCTTGAACAACCCACTCGTCTGTGACTGGTGGTAGATCGATTCGTTCCATTTGAAAACGAGATATGAATTCTCTTAGCATCTCGTTATCTTTTTGTCTTACCTTGAATAGGTCCGACTTCCTGGTCTCGACCTTTATGGCCCCAGCATGTGCTTTTACGAAAGAATCTGCAAGCATAGCAAAAGAATCGATAGAGTTAGACAGTAAATTATGATACCATATCATTGCTCCCTTTGACAGGGTTTCACCGAATTTTTTCAATAATACAGATTTGATCTCATCGTCCTCTAGATCGTTCCCTTTGATGGCACATGTGTAAGAGGTGAAATGTTCGTTCGGGCATGTAAAACTTCTTTGGGATCGGTTTAGGAGCCGCGCTCGGGGGGAAAGGTTTTTGTACGAATTTTTTGGAATCTAAGCCCTTCAATATCGGTGGTGCCCCGGGGATCTGATCAACCCTAGAGTTATACGTTTCCATTTTTTGTCGTTTTCCTCGACCCTCCTTTCTCCTGACTCTATTCATTTTGTCAGTTCTTCGAGCATCTTATCAATTTCAGGATTAGTCTCCGATTCTTGCTCATTTGACCTTACTATAGCTGGTCCCGTTTTGTGGGTGACTTCTTGGGGTGGATTGGGCTCGAGTCTGGTCGGTGCCTGGGTTTGGCTATGCAACTGGGCTATTGTTACTTGTTGATCTTGCAACATCTCAAAAATCATACGCAAGCTGATTCTGTTTTCCTCAGCGTTTTGGGTATTTCGAGTTGCAGACCGAGTTCCGCCATGAATGTTATTTTCAGGGTCGGAACGTTGGTTCGCCTCGATGGTCGCATGTAAATTAACGTCAATTGGCTCTTCGAACCGAGCTCCAACGGGATCGACGAATGGTCTTCCACCCCCGGGAGTTAAGTCGTTGTTCTCATCTTGAAGGCCAACTTCATTGTCGATAGGTAGGGCCATTAATTGAGGATTCGTCGTTTTTCAACCTGGAATAAAAGATACTTCCAAGAGCAAGTGTAAAATGGTGTGTTTTGCAAAGATTCGTACCAAATAACCACTGTTATCCTTAACCCCACGGTGGGCGCCAAACTGTTTACCCGAAAACCGGATAAAGTTAAATTTATACGCAGTTCTAAGGATACGTGGTATAACTTGGCACAAATCGGAAAGTAAATACAAATATATTGAGTATTGACTGAATAAAGAATGAAATACAAACCAAATTGAGTGAAAAATATTTTATGAACAAGCAAGATGAATCAATATACTAAGCCCAAAAAGGGATAATCTCTATATGAATATCAGTATGTTTTTCTCTGTGAATATCAATAACATGAGAGTGTATGAATGCCTTCATGTCCCATCCTCTACAGAAATAATAACTATCCCTCTTATAGTGGAGGGATCCTACTTTAGATATAATTAAAAATATATAGTGGGGATCCCATGATATATTAGCTTTTCCCTAATTCCCGCCGAGATTCTCTCCCTTAGTGCGGCTGTAACGGCTCTTGTCTCTTGGCTCGATCTTGATCGGATTTGGTATTGGTCGATTTTCAGGTTTAGAGCTCGATATTGGCTAGGGGCCCGGTATTGACTTTGGCTCGGTATTGGTCGGTCTCTGGCTCTTAAGCTCGATAACACCGCCTCACATCATAGTTCGATTTGGAATCGAGCTCGGTATTGACTTCGAGCTCGGTACTTAATTGGTCCCCAAAACGTAAGCTTGGTAACCTGGCTTCAGATCTCATTGCGATATTATAAAGACGACTTTCGGTCCATTACGTTCCAATCTTGACTAATCATTCGAAGGTCGAAAACCGGTTTTGACCGTATACAAACATATCCAAAAATGACACTGTATATCCAAGAAAAAAGAAGATTAATCAAGCAAATTGTGAACCAACTCGCCTGCAGTCTCCTTGACTGTCTTCCTTACATTACAATTGAGAAGACTAAACTGCATATAAACTTAAAAGAGTTTCGAAATTTGTTAGGTTAAATTAGAGTTTAAGCGAAGGGAAGCCTTGGTGCAACGCTAAAAAGGTGACATGTTCAAGCCGTCAAATAAACCTTGTAGAAATGCAAGGTAAATTTACATATATTAGACCAAACGCGGTTCGGCTTTTCCCAACTCTGCATATAAAAGGAGCTTAATTAATACACTGGGTTGCTCTTTGAGCTTAAAAAGGGGAGCCCATGCACTAAACTTCTGCTATGCGCGGGGTCTAGAGCACAAGGATCTATCGTACGCAATCTTATCCTGCATTTCTGTAAGAGATTATTTTCACGGCTCAAACCCGTGACCTCCTGATTACATGACACCAATTTTACCAGTTACGGACCGCCCTTTGAGCTTCTCAGTGAAAATTGTTCCCTCTAACCGATGATACTTATTGCATGCTTACAAGGAAGGAAAATAAATAGATTTGCTGAGATAAAAGCTTAATTCACAATATTTTATTGATTGAATAAACATAGGTTATGATAAAAGAACCTAAGTCATTCCAGATTGCTAGTGCAAGCAAAATGGCGATTTTAGAAAACTCATCAACTCTATTCAAGATATATCCGTCATCGTTTATTCATAAGGTACGGAAAACCAGGTGGTGAAAACGACGTCGTCCTTTTAACGAATCGTCCTTTGAGACGAGGTCTTTTTTCAGCATTTAGTTTCCTTACTTGGTACCGAATTTTCTTGGAAAACAATCTTGTCCTCCTCTTCTCTCTGTAACGTGACACCCTTTCTTCTCTTCCTCCATCCCCGCCTCTTACTTTTCCCCCGCCATATGGTTGATGAACTCCTCCTTCTCCAATACATGTTTCCTGCGTCAACATGAAAAAAGATAAGTCAATTATAATCAGAGGCGGAATTATGATTTGAATTTAATGGGCTACTGACTCCCTTTGAAGTACGATAAATTATAGAATAAGATTTAACTTATATACATTAACTAAGTGTGAATTGTTTTTGTAGGTTAACTTATTATTGTCTTTATTGCATGTATCGCTCGCGTGATTGGTCAAGTTATCATGAATCATGACAACAATGGGAGAGATAGCATCATCTTTTATCTAGTAAATGCATTCTTTTTGGGAGCCCGTGGCGGGGCTAGAATTTTCATTAGGGGGCAAAATATAAAGAAGTAAATCCAAATCAAAGGGTGTCAATATGTACTATACTTAGCTACACAATGCAATTTTCCGACGAAGGGGCGTCAGTTAACATCCCCGGAAGAGTAGTTTGATGCAGGTATTAGCTCTAGAGAGTTACTATGCTTATTCAAGTAAGAGATACCATCAAATAAACCATAAACTAATCTTTTTTAAACTAATAACTACCATGATTGTGGAGGAATTAAAAATGGATTGGAGAAGATAAATACCAAGAAATCAGGCCAGCAGTCATCAGGATTGAAATGGGGTCGGATTCCATTAGTCCAGGGAGAAGATTGATTTGGCCAAGCACTAATGACTGCCTCATAATTAAGCCTCAAAAGCAGCCTCCTTTTTGCATCAGCTTTACTGCCGCCACATTCTGCACTAGGGACAAACTCTGTTGCTGCAGTCATATTTACCTTCTGTTCAACTGTCTCTTCATATTCAAAATCCCAATTCAGCGCTTCCCTTGCCATGTCCAATTCAGGATCCAAATGACAAGCAACAACAGCTCTCATTTCTTCATCTTCAACCTCAATCTTTATTGCCTTATTATCTTCAACAGAACCGTTAATTAACCGACTCTGTTCTTCTTCTTCTGCTACTACTCTAAACTCTTCGCCTAACAAGCTTTCAACATCGGCAGCGAATTCAGCAAGTTCAATCTCAGAAGATAGAAACTCAGGAATCCCTAAATCATCGCATACATCTTCACTGTTCAACAAAATGTCTAAGTCATTAATTGTAGTGGTTTCATCTACCACTTCATTTGGGACTGTGCAGCAGAGTTCTGCTTCAAAGGGATCGAATACAGGGACGCGATAAAGAAGCTGCTCTTCATTTTCAAATTCATTTTCATCCGGTGAGTTTTCTTCACTTCCCATTTCTGGTACCATATTTTCCTCGTCCTTTTTCCGTTGTCCAATTTGTGTACTTTTATTCTTACCATTTCTTGGTGTTCTTGCCTTCCGAGTAAACCCTTGGTGCCAAGAAGGTTGAGAAACAGTTTGGTCGACGAATTTGGTGTCAGTTGATTTATTAGAAGATGTTTCAAGACGAACTCTTTCATGGCGACTCGCTAATTGGTTAGCTGAATGGACTGAAACATCACAGGATTGACAAAGAAAGGCATCATCAGCAGGGCAAAACCAACGAGCCCGCTTTGATAAACAGCAATCACAAGCTCTAGCTGTTTTTCCTCCAATGGCATTTGCCGTCTTGCTTTCACTAGTCATCATTTAGAAGTTAAATTAGGCTATTGAAAGAGGGAATTCTCGAGATAGGAATCAGTATCTAATGAATTCAACAGTTCCAGTACAGATGAAAGAAGGAAAGAAAAAACAGAATAATAACACAATGAGATCCTAATCTCAACAAAAAGAAAGAGGAATATGGCGAAATTGGTAGACGCAACTGGCTTAATTGGATTGGAAAAGTTTAAACAAGCTCCAAAACTAATTGGAACAGTTAAATATATATAAAGGACTGATTAGAAACTAAGGATATATAACTTCTTGGTACAAGAATTGCCAGTTGAGAGAGCCCACAACAGCCACTTTTGCTATACTACAGTGTTGTATTGCCTTGTTTAGCCATGCACTTTTGGCTAGCAAAAAATAAGATTAAGCTCTTTTGGTTTTGGGGTCCCATGGAATTAGCCTATCTAAATGTTGATTGGCTGAATTTTGAAATCAATCTTGAACAGAGCATTCTGATTGGTTATGTGTCCAAATTAAGGATTCTTATGGGACATCTTTGTAATATGTGACTTATATGGAGATCAACGTGAATGAAGAAGACCTGCTATTAGTGTTATTTATGACATTTTTGTCTTTATAGTTCAATTATTCTAGTTATATAAATTTTAAAAACTTTCTCTTTGTGGTCCTTTTTTGTTTCCTTTAACTAGTGGATTCTTTCTCTGATGTTTGCATCTGTGTGCTTGATCAGAAAATCTGAACCATTATTCTCCTCCACTTGATCCACTAGCGGACGTAACAAAATGACCTCAAAATTTATTCGATAGGTAATTTCTATACCTAGAAAATTTAAAAATATAAAAATTCTCGAAATATTTATAAGAAAAATGGGCCAACTTGACATTTGCCATATCCACATATTTTTACATGCAATAGAAGTGGTTTTCCTTTCTCCATTGAATTTTGGGTGTTCTCTTTGATATTCTCTTGTTAAATGTTTGTCGTATTAATATGCATTATATAATGTATGCTGCATTATAATTAGTAAAGTTGATTTCGTGTGAAATTGACATTTGACATGTCGTTACGTCGAGCATAGGGAATTTAATTTCATTATAACATTAATCTACCAGCCCTTGCTCTGTGCTTGGGCAATTGGGGAAATCTGAGAATAACAACATATTGCATGCTTCGGTCTAGTAATATTTTGTCCATTTTTGGATTGTGTGCGAGTCGTCCGCCTCTCAGTTCCACATTGTTATTGTATATTTGAAATATAATATTTCTAATATTTGTATTAAAGTATGATTTTTTTAAGCCAACAGATATGCATCTAATCAGAAGCGGATCTAAGGTTTAAACTCTATGGGTTCAACCTCTAAGATTTTTAGTTTTGAATCCATTATATTTTAAAATCATGGGTTCATATTTGCTATTTATTGCAATTTTAATAAATTTTTATACATATATTATGCTCTGCACGAAAAGTAATGAGTTCAAAAGAACCCGGTACCCTAAGGCTAGATATGCCCATGTATTTGATAATCTCCTGTCCATGTTATTTATTGGTTTTGTTTCAAAATGTACAAGAAGCGCTTATTACTTTTTTTAAGGATTCACCCATTATTATTTTAATTAGTGGAGTATTAATTAATTAAGTGACACGTTAAAAAATGAGTTAAATAATTATTTAGACAAATACTCTTATAATTAAAACTATTAAATACAGGGAGAGGGAGAGGGAGAGGGATGACTAATTAATGGGTGCACTGTTGGAGAATTCAAGCGTTGGCTTATGGTCTTTACAAGAAGTCAGCTTTCATCTAAAGAATCTTAGTACAACAAAAAATTGACAGTAAAAAAGACTGGCATGAAATAGTGTTAAATGTAGTAGAAATATGCTGACACTTGTCCCAATTTGACGTGGTTAAGAATAGCATCAGTAGGAGTGTCAAATTTATGTTGTGGATTAATATCTGTACGTATTGCAAATCACATGATTTTACCTGAAGTGAAAGCTTATGTTCAGTCAGATTTGAAACAATATCCATATGGGATTGCGTGTCATCTTTTCTATGGACGATGTAGTTGTTTGAATAAGGGGAAAAACTATTTTTGGAAAAAAGAAAACAGATAAGATCTAGTTATTTTTTTCCCGACATTACAAGGTCTAGTGAAATTTTAATTTATATTAAATAAATGAAAATTATGCCATACAAGGTATCACTATTGCATGCTTGGTTAGTTGGTTACATAATTTCTATTTATGTTTTGGAGGGGGTAAAAATATCTATTATAAGGTTTGACAAAAAATTGTCATTTAAATCAAATTACGAGTTTTGATGGATCATCAAAACTTGTAGTAATAAAAAATAATTTTATTAGTGATTACTGATTTACTGTGTGTCTCAAAACGGATGCTCAAGTTGAAAACACCAAAACAGGATTTCTTTCGAGTAAATGACTTCATATTCAATTTCCAAATAAGCAATACCTCTTAGCTTGAATAAAAATAGTCCTATATTTTGTCCTACTGTTGCTCAGTTTGAAGATGCCAGAAAAAGCCAGTTGGGGACCTAAATAAATTCTCCCCTCAGCTATTCCCATCAGTTTGATTAATGACTATATGATATGCTTTAACCTAAGAAATACAAGGAACAAGAAAAGGCCGGTGGAAATCGATTGCAACGTATCAAGATCCCTACATTCGTTAGCGTTTCACACAATAGGTGTATGTTCAATTCTCAAAAGTCTTTTTTCCAACTCTCCCTCCTCGGCCCCCCTTTATATGTATTATGTAAAAGCCAAAAAACAAAAAACTTTTACAAGAATATTTCAAGGATAAGCTCCAAAACCAATAAACTAAAGTGTAACGCTTGAGATAGCAATTTTTTGCTATGTCTATGCGCAGGACTAGAATTCATGAGTTCTAATGTGTGGCTTTTGGCTGAATAAGGGGATGGAGATGGAGATAATGCCAAATCAGTTGCTGGAGACGCCATTGATAACCCTGTATGTTGACTCTGGTTACCTACATACCCAAAGAAAAATACAAGTAAATTAAACCCACCTATATTAGGACTGAGAAATTTATAAAACAAATCTCAAACGAGGAAGCATCTTTTCAAGAATTGGGATATGATTTTATTACCTAAACACTTGACATCAGTTGAATTCACCAAACTGCAAAACAAACAAAGAGAGATGTTAGTTTTATATCTTTTGTTTAATTTGCCTGGAGATATATGCCATTTTTTTAATACCTTCTAAAAGTTTTGCCTCCAAGATGTCCACGATAAATGCAGGCTGTAATATTGCAATTACCAGATGCTGTGTGCTTTTCGTGGTTTTCTCCGATAAAGAGATTGGAGTCTTTGCACTGTAAATGTGAACATTTATCCACAATTCCTGAAGCTGAACACTCCATGCTGTTCGATCAAACATCAAAAGATAAAGTGTTCGAAATAATTTAAACTTGAAATTGATAAGCAAATATATGTATATGATGATCGATTTTTGGTATTGGTTACCTGAGATCAGTAGAACTGCAGCCACATTTGATGCAGTTGTTAGCAGTTAAAGCATAAGAACCATTCGGAATTATTAGGCTTTCGTTGTACCAATTCAGATTTGCTGCTGAACATGCTGCAGAGGATATAATCTTAGTGGAATAAGAATAAAATATATATAAGCTTCAAATTTACTATACAAAATATCTTAATTTTAACATCTATTATACTTCGGGGTTATTGCCCTTGCCATTTGCAACTCATCTCTTATTTATCATTGACTCAAATGGAACTCCAACATGGACAGAGTGGATTCCATGTATTCACTCTATATTTAAGTACGTTATACTTCAAGTTGGAACTTTATTAGGGACAAATACAGTATGAGAGGATTTACTAACGAAAAGAGTATGAATGTCTCAATGTATTACGTCGGATAAAATTAGGATATTGTGTATAGTAAAATCATACTTTTGACCCTTTCGCAATAAATTGTAGTACTAGTAGGTTTCTTTCCCAGTAACATTTTTTTTTTTGTGTGTGGGGGCTTTGGTTTACTTACCAGCAAGAGGAATAGCCAGAATATCTCCAGGATCAATTTGAGGTTGACCAAGCCCATTTATGATCTCCAAATTGCCAACTGTGACACCATATTCTGCTGCAATTCTTGTTAAGTCATCTCCACTCTGTACCACATATGACATGTACACACTGTCTACATCATTATTGCTATTATTGAAACATGTACATGGCAAAGGAATCACAAGACTCTGTCCACTGGCTAAAGGATGTTCTGCATCAACTCCATTTGCAATACCAATCTGTTCTGCACTAACAAGTCCTCCATACAGTTCTGATATTGACATCAATGTATCAGCTACTCCAATCGTGTAATGAGTAGACGAAGATCGTCGTATGCCATTGACACATGAACACAAAATGGGTATCTTCACAAATGATTTTTCAGGTTGGATTTGGTTTACTTGATTTGAACCAATAGAGTTGGCTGCTAAAAGATCAGAGACATTGACTTTAAACCTGAATGCTATTTCAGAAATCTTGGAGTCCAACGGAAGGCGATAGGAGAGATAAGAGGAGCATGAATCAGATGCATTACAAGGTTCAATCACAGATTTTGCTACCATAAAATATGGCAGACAAAGAAGCAGAATTGGGAGTAGAATAGGGAAAACAACTTTCCTTGTCATTTCTGCTTGACATGAATAACAAAGGACACTGTTTCAATATTTGTAATTCTTTTTGTTATTTATTGATTTTGGTTTTCTTGAATTGAAGTTGGTTAGGTGAGGAAATTATTAGGACAGAGAGACAGCAAAGCAAAGATAACTGGGATTTTTGTAGAAACTATGGCATTAAATATTGGAGGACCAGAGCTGAGTTCTTGAAAGAAGCAGGCAATTGTCAGTTGGCGGTCATTTTGCACTTCCAATGTCAATTGCTAAGAAATGTTGGCATTCACATGCCAGTTTTCATAATTTAAGCTATACTGTCAAATAAATATAAGTATCACTTTATAAGTATGATATAATTTTCAAGTCACTAGGTGTTTTTGACAGGCATCATTTATTCCTAATTTATTCGGCATTTAACTACATTAGATGATCTCAATCCATTTTCTGAAAGCAAAATTTCGATTTTTTGAAACTACGTGAAGGAACTATAAATTGTATTTTGGTCATATGAAAATGATAGAAGTGTATATTTAGAAATTATTTTCATAAATAATTTGGTTTGACTTTTGAGACAAAAAAAAAGGAGATGTAACAATTAGGAGTATAAAAATATGACCTCTTTTTTTTTTTGTTCATAAGCAAAATATGACCTCTTTCCTAAAATGACAAATAATTATTTCCTTGAACAGCTCAAATAACTATAAATAGATATATTATTTATATCACTATCGACATTATTCTTTTAGCCTTCCTTTGCCCTTTTTCAAACTAATATTTCAAAATTTTCTCCATCGAATTGAATATATCGAATCAAAATTATGTTAAATCTGATCAACTTAAATAAATGGAGTAACTAAAAATTTTCTTCTTGGAAGTTCGTCTTCACGTTCTCCTTGAAATCAAATACTCATGATTAGGTTAACATGTAACATGCAATGTTTTTATATTCCATTATAGATCTATATCACATTGTCAGTAGGATTGTGTCATCGTAGTGTGAATCAATAGTTATTAAGGGGTTATATTCGTCATTAATGACAAAATAAGAGGGATAAATTTTCTAATATTCGAAAATATAGGGCCAATTCTAACATAGCGGCATACTTATGCATCTTTCACTTTTCCCCTATTCGTCCGATCAAGGGTTAAGCACGCGCCGCCAAAATTTAAACCTCCCGGGAACATGGGCCGAACCGGCGACGGCGGATATCCACCGGCGGAGAAGCCTTCTCGGTCTTCCGATTCAAAGAGAAGTAGAACTAGTCAACACGACGTTGGTCAACACCGCAGCAAAAAGAAGCAAAGAGTAACAATACGTCAAACTGAGACTAAAAGTGAAACCCTAACTCTGAATCAAAATTCCACTTCCTATACCCATACATATGCAACTTCCAGCATTTATTCATACAATAGGCGCAAAGAAAAGGGGCATAAAGGAAAATCAAAGAGGACGAGTGCAGAGGATAAGCGCAAGTGGGTTTATTCTACTCACAATGTTTCCCCATATCAAGGTTAGTTACGAATTTATACAAAATTTCTTTTGTTACAATCCAATTATTGAATATTAATTGTTTTCTTAATTTGGCAAGTGCATTGCCTTTTTGGTTATGTCTGAATAGTCACCTTGATTTTGCAGATAGGGTGGTTTTTATGTCGTATAATATACTAGGGGTAAAAAATGCAGCTGATCATGAGGATCTGTACCACAATGTTGCTCCAAAATATTTGGATTGGGACTACCGCAAGCGGCTTATTCGCAAGGAAATTAGAGAATATAATCCGGGTATAATGTGTTTCCAGGTAAGTTTTAATTTCAAAATTTCTAGCTTTCTGTATCTTTACTCATCAAAAAA